TTAGAAAATTCTTGACATTCTTTTGGTTTTGGGTTTTTGCATTAAAAGTGCAATTTTTAAAATACTTAAAATTATCAATGTTTTCCTGGACAACCTAGGGGGCTGTTGCTGTGGTGTCATCCAGGGAAGACATAGTTTAGTGTAAAAGTTTTTCTATTAAAACTGTGAACCCAGAATATACTCCATGAACAGGCATGCAATGTTTCCTCATATCAGCTGATTTCACACATTCGCACATTTTCACAAATGGAAAATGTAATCATATTTTACCCAATTAAGAAGGAAATTAACCCCAGCCCCAAAAAATATATTGTAAAGTATGAAGTTCACAAGTACATGTAGCTGAAAATTTGCCCAAAACATCCCCCAACCACACTTTATTTGTGTTTGAATGTACAACCTTTTTAGTAAGAATTGAGAGGAACAAAGTCAGAAGAGCCACCAAATATCATAATACTTGTTATTTCTCTTGGAAAAGCAGTAATAAAAACAGTGATTACCATAACTCATGACATCATAGACAAATTCTCTGAAGGCAGTCCATATCCATCCATGTACAACAGCATGTGTGAAGCTACCGCGTCAGACGCCATGCTGACCAGCCGGGTTGCACAAACGCCATTCAGAAAATCATGGTGCACTTCATCACTGGGCAGTCAAATGCACCCATTTTCACGATCTAAACCTCAATCTCTCTAAGGTGTTTCCATCCCATTCTTTTCAAAATACATGCAGACATGTAGTTTCTTGTACATGTACCAGAAAGCCTTAAAAATTCCACTTGGAAAAATGCTGGTTTTAAGCAGATCAAACTTCCAGAAAACTTCGAACTTTTTCGGCAGAATTTTCAATGGAGGGTTTGGGCAACTCAAATTCTATCCATTCGTGCACAAATTGATGAAAAATAGTGTGGTCCCTACAGCTAGAAATCAGTTTGGTGCACCGTGTTTACGGGGAGTTGGGCGACCATGTTTTCGTACACAGAAACAATCCATGCGCACAATGTGTGCGAAGTGGCCCATTTCAGTCCCTACACACATAGGCTTAGTGCACAACCACAACTCTTGTCGGTGAGCTCTCAATTGCACTGCACTGTATACTGTATACACCGTACATGCATAAGCAGTGTCTTATTGGAGTCTATCATATGTTCTTTCACAAGTTCCTTCACAAGTCCAGTCACAAATCCCTTCACAAGACCAGTCCTAAGCGTCAGTGTGAACAGTGACAAAGGAATGCTTTTGTCACAGCTCATTTGAATAGCTTGTGAATTGGCTTAAGACTGAATGACTTGTGATGGACTTAGAGGGACTTGCAGGAACTTGCGATGGTCTTGAATACAACACTACGTATAAGCAGAGTCCCTTATTATGAGGAAACCCTGTGCACGACTGGTCGCAAAGAATGGGCCTGGGGGTGAATCTTGGGCATTTTCTCTTACATAACCTACAAACCTAAGAATTGGCATTAATGAAGCATCCCTGTCATTCCCATTTTCTGTACAGTTTGTTGAGAGTGGAGGATTAAGTCACCTTTTCAACATATTTGTATCTGGGAACCTGGAGGCAAAGAGTGGACAGCTCTGGAATCTAGTGAGTTGTTTTGTGTGGATTGATTGTGAGACGTGGGGTTCTAAGTTTTTTATGATCTTTCTGCTGCCACTTCCTGGTGTCTTCCTGCACTTGACAATCGTTGTTTACTAGTGATGGAGAGAAAGTTGTTGAAGTTCCATTGGTTTGATTTATTATGATTGAACGCCGGTTCGCCATGACTCTACTGAAGTCCATCTCAAGTCCTGTCAAGAGCCATTTTACACTGCTTGTGGTTGATTTTGCCTCACCCCACAATTTGCTGTTCTTTTTGGTATGATGGATGTACACTGGCGAGCGAAAGTTTGCCCGCACCTTCTGTGAAAATTTTCTCGAGTTCATTTTTTAATAAAAATTACCTCCAACATAACTTTTTTCCCTCCCTGTGTCCTTCATGGTTGTTTTATTCAGTTTTAGTCATATTTTTGCTTGTCTATGGGATCAAATTCTAACAGAGAACACGCAGAATCTGCGAACAGCCCGAACGCTGTATTGAAACGCCATTTTGGATGACATCATAATATATTAATGAGCTCATGAATAACATTATCTGGGTATTTAAATTCACAGCGGGCTGTGGCAAACAAGTTTTTCAGCGCCCTAAATGAATATTTATCAGATCGTATGGCACCGTCATTCATAAATATGGTAAATACGCTTACTCAGCTAAAATATCTGCATGTGAATCACTCTATTGCTGTCAATCTAACGATCAACAATGCCACGAAAATCACATCTCACAGACGTCCAAAAAGGGATGATCGAAGCCCTCCACGGGGAAGGAATTTCTAATCGAGAAATTGCCCGAAGGTTGGAGATCAATCAAAAGACGGTGAGATATAATCTTTGTAAGTTGGAAGAGAATAATTTAATGGATACTCTTCCACGTTCTGGCCGGCCAAAGGCTCTGAGTGAATGGGCTGAACTCATCAGGACATGCCGCCAAAACAGATTTATGACCGCCCCCGAGCTCACGGTGGAAGTGGCCAACGCCACAGGAGTGACAGTTCAC